TATGATTTAACATAACCATAATGATATAAAACAAAAATTAACAAATTAAAAATTAACTCAGTTTTTATCATGATTTAATAATTTAAAAATTAATTATGGTTATGAGAAGCTTACATTCACGTGTCAATCCTATTTATCTTTTTTTTCTCTTGTTGTGTTTTTTATATTTTGGTTATTACTCGATATAAATATTATTTTGAAGTTTATTCTCATTTCGTTTGTTTGTTTTGACCTGAGATTTAGAAAATATTTAAGATTTAAAATAATTAAAGAGATACATACTTAGGTTAAGATCTGCACTTTATGCACAATAAGTATTTTATATTTGTTATTTATTTTATATTTTTATGCATATTATAAAATAATAAATATATATATATATATTAAATAACTAAGAAATCAATTACTATTATGTAATAAATTGACGTATGCATATAAATTTAACTATCACTTTGCTTATTCGCAATTAGGGTAAATAAATCAAAATAATCAATCTTATATATTATATATGATATATAATTAAACTTAAATGATATAAACATAGTAATATAGAACACTTTTAATATGGATATTTATTAAATGAGGTTTTTACTCATATGATTTTATGATTATTTGCATATTTGTGTAACAGAACTTTACACCAACGAATTTTTTTTAATAAGAGATGTTTAGTAGTTTCAATAATTTATAATCATTTTAATAAAACAATGACATATTTCAAAATTAAAATATTAACTTTTCAATATATGTTCAAGACAAAATCAAAATATAAGTATGTATTTTCATACGATATATAGTTTAACTAAAACGATATGAAATATATATAAACTAAAATTATTTCTTCATATGGTCTTATAATCAATATATTTTAATATAGAAAAAAACTAAAACCTTGATCCTAAAAGTTTATGTGAGACTTTTAAATGTTTTAGTAATTTATACTCATTTTGAAAAATTCGAAATACAACATACACACAAAAAAAATCTAGATTTTTTTTATATGATTAATTTAATTGTGTAATTTATTTTAATAATAAATAAATAAACAAAATGAGAGAAAAAGTATGAAGATTGTTATCAAATCTTTATTGTTTAAAATCATTAATTGTCATATATATTTTAATCATATTAGGTAATTTCGTAAGTTATTTAAGGAAAGCATGCGAAACAATAAATATTTGATATATGCAACCAACTATATCTTACAAAATATTATATTGCTAGAGAGTTAAATTTTTAAACTATACATTATATCACATGCTCTAGAATCCTTGGAATTTGAAATAGAAGCCAAAGAACTATGCCACATAGGATTGAGGTTATTATTAATTCTTACAAACTTAAGGTTACAACTTTTTAAATGATTCTCAAATAATATATAAGGGATATGATTTATGTACTTAAAAACAAACATGTACCCTAAATTTTGACAACAATAAGTACGTCCCATTATCTCATTAACCATAAATATGTAAATTGGCTCGAATTAAACCTATATCTTATACTCTCTCAGTTTCAATTTATATGTCGTTGTAGAGGAAATTTTTCCGTTTTAAAGTAAGTGTCTTTTTATAGTTTCAATGCAAATTTATTGATTTTACATGTTATTTCATATTTCTATTGGTTGAAAAGTGGTTAGATATATATGTATAATTGTGTTTTTATCTCGAAAATACGTAAAATAGAATGTTTTCTTAACTTTTGTGTAAAAACCTAAAACTACGATGAAAGTGAAACGGAGGGAGTAGTTTCTTAGGCTTTGCTATTTAAGCATAACTTTCTTTTTTGTTATTTTAGATCGGATCTTTACGGTAGGTTCTGGCGTCCTTCCGAGATAAACATATTGTGGACAGGAGTACCATCCTCGGCTGCGTCCATCGATACCTCTAGTGCATCAAACAAGCCGCCTGAGTCCATCCTCCGTAACTCTTGGAGCGTGGAAAGCTTAACATTAGTCGACCCCACTCTTCCTACAAAAGGAGTTCCTGTTTACTTGGCTATGTATTTCTCGGAGCCTCTCCAGATGACTGTACGATCGTTCAACATTTTATTTGGCAGTAAGAAAGTCGGCACGGGTCCAGTTGTGCCAGTGTTTGGAAAAGCTACCCAAGTGGTAGTGAGAGACGTGGTGGCCAGCTCGAGCTCCCAGCTAGTGTTCCAGTCCACAGCTACCGCCCTTTTACCGCCCATGATAAATGCGTTGGAGCTTTATGTGATAAGTTCGGGTACAAGTGGAGAGGGAAGCGGAAATGGAAGTGGAAGCGGATCAGGAACAGGTGGAGGTGGTGGTGGATCAGGGAAAGGCGAACCTGGAGGTTTTTTAAATGCTTTTATCAGTGATTTTCTTGGTTTTGGAGTAAAATCTCCAGTTACCAATAAAGCATAAACTTATTAGTATGTGTGGATCATACAAGTTACCTACGTATAAGATTTCTTTTACTCTTGTGTTAAGGCTCAAGTGGAACTGGAAAAGGAGAAACTGGAGGAAGCAATGGAGGGAGCTCAGGTTTGTATTTAGACTTTTCTTTGCATTTTAGCCTGTGATCTTGATTTGTTTAGTTTGAAGAAACTAAACCATATTTACAGATAAAATATCGTTATGCATAATATATATAGGTCATTAAAAAAAAAGTGCAAATAGAAAACATTACATGTTGATATCGGTGTAGGTGGGTCAACCCATGAAGAAAAGAAAAGTAATCTGCCAATTATACTCGGTGCGGTAACCGTGGTAGCGATTGTTATTGCATTAGTTAGCGTTGCTATTCTCTTGAGGAATCGTCGCAAACCAAGCCTGATCCAATCGCCAACTTCCACTGGTATACATTGAGTGGTTTTGTTGTCTTTGGTAGATTTTGTACTGTATGCAAATGATTATAATTGATCCATTTGTTTTACATATATATAATATTATTATTTTATCCTGGCTAATCGATATGAATTCTAAAGTTTTTTTTTTGTTGCTAAAGTATACTGTATATGAATTCTAAAGTTGTGACTGAAATCTGAAGCAATGCTTCAAGAAGATAACTGAAAGTTCTTTGTTTTATTTCCAATCTTTCTTGTTCATTACAAAAGCAAAGCATAGATATTTATACAACCTTGACTAAACCCTAGTTTCTCTGTACAGATGGCAACATCATGGATGCTCTGTGGAATCAAGGGCTGCAAATCTGTTTCCCAGCTGGAGGAGACAAGNCTGGAGGAGACAAGGTTGAACCGTACCAAACGTCATCGCCTTGCTTTTACCCTTTTGCAGAGCCACACCTTGTTTGTCGTTTATCATTAAACGTGAAGATGACCGTTGAGCAGATTTGGGCTGAGCAGGCTGAGACATGTTGAACTTGTTGTCGAGGCCCACAGTGGCTTTGAGTTGAGAAGATGGGCTTGCGTTAATACCCCCTCTCAAACTTGGTGTGGGAGGCAAGTCTACACCAAGTTTGTACCGAAGCCTCTGAAACGTTTCAGTTGGCAAACTCTTAGTAAATATATCAGCAATTTGAAGCCGTGAGGGAATGTGTTTAACAACCAGAGACTTTAAGGCAACCCTTTCGCGCACATAGTGCCAATCTGTTTCGAAGTGCTTGCTGCGTTTATGATAAGCAGGGTTAGCGGTTAAGTAGACAGAAGAAAGATTATCCCCAAACAGCTCAGGTGTTACCGGAAGAGAGATTCCCAATTCTCGAAGTATCATACTCATCCAAGCAAGTTCAGAGGCTGCTTCTGATAGCGACCTATACTCAGCTTCGGTGGAGCTTTTGGAGACTGTGGGCTGCTTCTTAGACGACCATGAAATAAGATTTTGGCCAAGAAAAGTGCAGAAGCCTCCTGTGGAGCGTCTAGTTTCAGAGCAACCCGCCCAGTCACTATCACTATAAGCTGTGAGGGTACAATCTGTATCTTTGTTAAGTGTAATACCCATTGATATTGTTCCTTTAACATATCTCAGGATCCTCTTAAGATTATTGAAGTCTGAGACAGAGGGGCAATGCATTTTCTGGCACACATAATTAACAGAAAACTGAATGTCTGGCCTTGTTAATGTAAGGTACTGAAGCTTACCCGCAAGACTTCTGAAGTATCTTATGTCTGAGAAAGGAACATCTTGATCAGGTACCTTGTTTAGTTGCAGAGGCAGAGGTGTATTCACGTAGGCACAATCCTCCATTCCTGCAGTTTTCAGAAGATCAAGGGCGTACTGCTGTTGAGAGAGAAACAAACCCTGTGAATGAGTTTGAACCTGAATCCCAAGAAAATAATTAAGCTGCCCCAAATCTTTCATTCTGAACTGACTTCTCAAGCTTTCAAGTAGGCTTTCCAGAGCAGCAGAGTTGTTCCCAGTAATCGCCATATCATCAACATAGAGCAACAGCATTATGACATTCCCATCTCTGCAGTATATAAACAAGGACGGGTCTTTGATGCTGCATTTGAAGCCAAATTCCAACAGAAAATTACTGAATTTGTCAAACCAAGCACGTGGGGACTGCTTGAGACCATAAAGAGATTTATGGAGATGACAAACGTGGTCTGGCTTTAGAGGATCAACAAAGCCAGTTGGTTGTTCCATGTAAACAGTTTCAGAAAGATCACCGTGGAGGAAGGCGTTTTGAACGTCCATCTGCTTGATTTCCCAGTTCATTATAGTTGCAAGATGGAGCACAATTCTCACAGTGGCCGTTCGGACTACAGGGCTATAGGTCTCCAAGTAATCCACACCTTCTTCTTGAGTATTACCACGAGCTACTACTCTTGCTTTTAACTTGTCTTCAGTTCCATCGGCTTTTAGTTTTGTTCTGTATACCCAGCCACATCTAAGAACATGCATATCAGGCTTGCGTGGGACCAATGACCAAGTTTCTGTCTCTGCACAGTTATCCATTTCTATTTGCATTGCAGCAGTCCATCTTTTGTCGTTCAGAGCGGCTGCAACTGAAGTTGGTTCAGGGTAAGATGTTCTGTGAGTGAGCAATGCATACTTAGGATTCGGTTTTCTCACTCCAACTTGAGACCTTGTAACCATAGGATGAATTGATGTTGTTTGCCGAGGCTGAGACAAAGAATCTTGAGTATTTGCTGAAGGAGAATGAGCTCTGGACAGAGGAGGAAAGTCTCTTTCTGTGAGCAAAGGAGATTGGGTACTCAGAGGAGAGATTTGATCCAGAGCAACAGGGGCCGCAATAGGAGTTGAAGTCTGAGGTAAAGAGACTGATGCCTGCAAAGGCTGTTGGCTTACTTTCGTAGATGTCTGATCACCTGATTCTGGAGGTAAGAAGCTTCTTTGCCAAGCTTTAAGGGTAGGGGTGTAAGCCGCAGGGTGATAAGATCGATAGACATCATGAAAGGGAAAGCTTTGTTCAGCAAAGAGCACATGCCTACTTATATAAACCCGACCAGTAGGTGGATATAAGCAGCGATACCCCTTATATTTGTCATTATACCCAATAAATACACAATGAAGAGAGCGAGGATCAAATTTATTCACTGCATAATCTCTTAAAGTAGGGTAGCAGGAGCAACCAAATGTTCGAAGAGCAGAGTAGTCTGGTTCTTTGTTGTGTAAAACTTCATATGGGCTTCGCTTCTCTTCAAGAACAGATGATGGTAACAGATTGCTTAGAAAGTTTGCTGTGTAGAAAGCTTCCACCCAATATTTTTGAGGAAGCTTGCTCTGAAACAATAGTGTCAAACCCACTTCAGTGATCTGCCTATGTTTACGTTCTGCAATGCCGTTTTGCTGCGGAGTATGTGGACATGACACATACTGCTGTATTCCAGAATTCTTAAGATGAAGCAAGAACTTGTGGCTCATGAATTCACCACCACCATCGCACTGGAATATCCCTATCTTTGATGAAAATTGGTTCTCAACAAACTTCTGAAACATAACAAATGTTGCAAAGAAGTCTGATTTAACTTTGAGAGGGTATAACCAACAAAAGCGAGAGAAGTTATCAACAAAGATGACATAAAATCTGAATCCTTGATTAGACATTATTGGAGAGGGACCCCAGAGATCACAATGGACTCTCTCTAAAGGTCTAGACGCAGCAAAACTAGAAGCAACAAAAGGTAGACGACTACTCTTTCCTAGGTGACATGAATCACAAGATTTCATGATACTTTTATTGACACTAATAGACTTTTTCTGATGCAGAAACTGAAGTATCTGAGAGTGAGGATGTCCAAGTCTCCTGTGCCACACTTCATCATTTGTAGAGATTTGACGTGTGGAATAATGAGCTTGGAGCCTCGGTTCATTGAGAAGATAGAGGCCTTTACTTCTGCTTCCTGTTGTCAGAACCTGTTTGGTGGCTTTGTCCTTAACATAAACACCGTTATTGTCAAACTTAAAAGAACATGGATAGTCTGAAGTAAGTTTGGACACAGATAGTAAGGACTTAGTAATTGCAGGACAAACCAACACATCCTTGAGATGAAGTTTACCTGAAGTGGAAGCAATGTCTGAGGAGCCGACATGAGTTATTGGCAGGTAGTTACCATCTCCTACAAGGACTGAGTCGTTACCTCTATAGACCTGAGCCTGGTTAAGATTCTGTGGAGAGTTTGTAACGTGGGTTGTAGCTCCTGAGTCTGCATACCACTCATTTCCCATGTGATCTGTCACGTCTGTGATTCTCATAGCAGCCATGGCCAAGGGAAGGTCTTCCTCACTGTAACTGTTATTAAATCGATGCCAACATCTTAAGGCTATGTGTCCTTGGCGTCCACAAATCTGACAAACAGGGCGCTCATCATGCTCAGAGGAATTTGGGTGTGAGGAGAGTTGTTGGTGAAACCCACGACCTCTTGTAGAGAAAGAACTGCGTCCTCTTCCTCTACCAAACCTTCTTGCAGACCCTCTACCTCTGTTGGTGTAACCGGAATAATGTTGAGCCCTGTCAGTATGAAAAGCCAGATGTGGACTTGGATCTGAAGAAACAGTGTAACTCTGAAGCCTATCATCAAAGCTAATGAGTCGAGAGGAGACATCTTCAAAAGTTGGTGAAGGATGAAGATCCATAGAGCCTTCAATACTTGTTTTGATAGGTTCATACTCCTGACCTAAACCATGAAGAGCCGAAAAAATCTTCATTCTTTCTTCAAGTGGACTTCCAATGGATGAAAGTTGGTCACTGATGTTCTTTATTTCTCTAAGATAGTCTCCCATAGGCTTGTTTAGCTTGGAAACTGTCTGAATCTTTCTCTGTAGCTCAAACAAACGTGAAGAAGATGGCTTATTGAAGTGAGTACCAAGCGTGACCCAGATCTCATGAGCTGTGTTGCAGTGGATGACTAAACTCTGGATATCTTCAGTAACAGAGCCAAGCAACCAAGATTGGACAACTTGGTCTGTTTGAAACCAGATTTGATAGTCTGGATTAGGAATGGTGGTCGTTGTTCCGTTGATTCCTGGAACCTGAAGCGTTGTAACTGGAGCTGGATTGGATCCATTCACAAATCCAAGAAGACGTTGACCGTTAAGGAAAGCCTCAAACTGACGCTTCCAGAGGATGTAGTTTTTCTCCGTAAGCTTGACTGTAACCGAGTTCACAATCTTCAGAGTTGGAGGATTGTAAGTTTCCATGTCCATGGCTCCAAAGATTTACTCCCTAAAGCTCTGATACCATGAAATCTGAAGCAATGCTTCAAGAAGATAACTGAAAGTTCTTTGTTTTATTTCCAATCTTTCTTGTTCATTACAAAAGCAAAGCATAGATATTTATACAACCTTGACTAAACCCTAGTTTCTCTGTACAGATGGCAACATCATGGATGCTCTGTGGAATCAAGGGCTGCAAATCTGTTTCCCAGCTGGAGGAGACAAGNCTGGAGGAGACAAGGTTGAACCGTACCAAACGTCATCGCCTTGCTTTTACCCTTTTGCAGAGCCACACCTTGTTTGTCGTTTATCATTAAACGTGAAGATGACCGTTGAGCAGATTTGGGCTGAGCAGGCTGAGACATGTTGAACTTGTTGTCGAGGCCCACAGTGGCTTTGAGTTGAGAAGATGGGCTTGCGTTAATAGTGACTACTTTTAAACGTTTTGATGATAGTTGCTCAAGAGGAGACTGGAGCACCACCTCAATTTGGACAACAGACGGGCAACGACCCGAACCTGTCTACAATAGAGGCGGACATGGGATATATCGACGATCTGATTGACATAAACCCGTCGTATGTAACGCAACAACATTGAACATCGTAAGATATAAATGTTGTTAACCTTCAATTGTACGCCTTTCCAACGAATTTCATTTTCCTTCTCAATTTGGGAGGTTTTTTGTTTTTTTGTTTTTTCCTGGTCTTTCGTGTCGTTAATCACATTCAATTATTTATTCTGGTTGGGACATTAACAAGAGACTTATTCAGATATATACATATATAATTAGGAAATCATATATATAATAAAAGAGTTTTTACCTCTCCCGGCCCTCAAGCAGCCACGTCAACAGTTAATAGACCCCACCAAACCATTTAAGCCAACGATTTATGTATTTGATTATTGGTCTGTTAAGCAGATAAATATATGAATACGATAATTTTATTTACGTGTTTAATTTATTTTAATTAAAAATAGCATTAACATACTTAAATCTTTAACCATAATTTTATCTATTTGTTTTAGAATTCATTTCCAAAATTTAATAGTTGTCTAACTATATTAAAATATTAAAAAATAATTATTTACTTTCTCTCAATGTTTATTTTAAGTCAAAAAACATAGTACAGTTGATTGGAGTGAAATTATTAATTCTCTTAATTATAGTTTTGTTTAATGAATCATTTTATTTTAAAATTAATGATTTACACAATGTAAAAGAAGCAATTTTGTCATTTTAGCTGAAACAGTTTTAAGACATTTCCATAGATAATATAAATTCTCATTACCACTTATACATATACATATTTGTTAGAAGCTTCTATGTATTATTATCTATGAAACCAAAATTAACCATGTTATCCAAATAATTGATTAAAATTTTTAAAATACATATTACTAATTTATAAAATATAATCATTACAAATTTTAATAATTATTAGATATTTATTTATCTTATTATATAATAACATTAAATATTTTCTTATTTGATATTGTGTATTTTTATTATATATATATATATATTAAAGTATATAAATTGGATATTATAATAGTTTAGCATACATGTAGATGTAGATGATGAAGTTGCTTGTTAATGATTTTCTATTTTTCTAAAACATAAATTATTCTTTGAAATTATTATAAAAAAATAAACAACTCACTTTTATTTAGACTCCTTTCCTCAATGATTGTTCTTTTTATCTATTTGTTAGTGATTTACATTTTCATGAATGTTGTGATAGTGATATGTTTCATCTTATATAACAATTTTATAATTAGTAATAATTATAGATATATTTATATGAAACATAAAAGATTTGATCCGTAAACTGACATAATGATATAGATAGTTAGTAATATAAGAGATTTTTACAATATAAGACACATTATCCCTTACATATTACACGTAGGGACACAATCACTGGAGACACACATTGTGGGTGTCTAATGTCCACTTAACCCTCTAACCAGAACCATCTACGGTTTATGGTTTATGCTTCCTACTCCAACATATTAATAAAATAAATAAATAAGTAGTGAGAAAAGACAAAAATTACTCCCAAAAACAGAAGTACTTTCCCAATTCTTGAACCCTAATACCCTCACTTCTCCTTCTTCTTCACCGGGTTCGAGACATGCGACAAATAAAGAGTACAAATATTTTCATTCTTTCTCCCATCTCGAATCGAACTTAGGAAAGCTGTGGTGAAGTTTCAAAGAGTGGATGAGATCGGGGACCCACCGTTGTTGAGCTCGGGTTCCGCCGTGGTTGAGTTTGGGATCCGCCGTGGATGAACTCCAGGAAGTTATGGTTGAGTTTCAAAGAGTAGATGAAGCCTGGATCCACTGTGGTTGAGCTTGGGATCTGCTGTGGTTGAGCTCAGGAAGTTATGGTTGAGTTTCAGTGAGTGGATGGGTCAGGATCCGTCGTGGTTGAGCTCGGGATCCACAGTGGAAGACGTGAGGTTGGGGGATACAGAGGTGGAGACCGTTTAAGAATCTGGCTCTGTAATTGACCATGGATTCTTAAACCCAGATTCGGATCTGTCGTTCAATGGCAGACTAGAGATAGAGTTCGAGTCAGTCAGATGTGGTGTGGATCGTGGTGGAAGATGGTGGTGTGAGTAACAAGATGGGTTTGATTATTGCTAAGTCATGGCGTAGGGTAATGCATGTTGGGTTTAACCAGAGGATGCCTAATACTTTGGAGGATCATAGTAAAGTTGAGGTCTTGATGAGACTTCAGGGATTAAGGCAAGTCTAATGTTTTTTATGTGTTTAGTTTGTTTATTTTGAGTTGTTAGAGCTGAAAGTGATGCTCTTTGTTTGTTAAAGTGATCAGAGTTATGAAGGAAGATAAGTTTGATGTTTTAAGTGTCTTCTTCGCTTGTTAGCTTCGTCTGTGTCTTCGATGTTGAATCTATGCTAATAGACTTAGTTTTGTATGTGGATATTATTATTTTTTGCTCACGCATAACATATACATTAATATCCACAACTTGTGTCCAGATGATATGTGCCCACAAGTTTGATATCTACATCGATATTTTAGTAATTATAAAACAAAAAAATAAACAAATACATGGGGGGATGGGTGAAAAGTTATGTAATAATATTGAAAAAGGAAAAACATGTTCCATCGTTAACTTTTTGTGCTCATCCACATCTAACCAACATTTAACTAAGCTCATTATCCATCTTTTGCACAAGGACAATTCTGTCCAAAAAGCATCTCGGGCTCAACAATTGTGCTCCTCTAGTGTAATGTGTCTCTAGTTGCAAAGAAAGTCAAAAAAGTGTCTAAATATGTAATGCACTCATAATATAAAATAACTGAGAAGATTTTAGAAACCAGAAAGTCATGCAGAGAAAATATATATATATATATATATATATATAATTACATTATCATATCTAGATTTTATAATTTCATTTTGTGAATATCTAGATCTCGACCCGCGTGGTATAAGAAAGTGTCTAATTTGTGAATACCAATTTTTAATATTGATCGCAACCGATCAATCCAATAAGTAAAATAAAGTATAAGAAATGGAAATACACACTATAAAGAAAAATAAATAATAAGTAAATATATAATTTAAAAATGGAAATAGTACATTAAAAGTAAATATACATTTGAATATGTAAATATAGATATTAAGTAAATATATAATATACTAAAATAATAATAATAATAATAATAATAATAATAATAATAATAATAATAATAATAATAATAATAAGTAATACACAAGTTTTTTTAAAAAATGGAAAAGGTGCATTAAACATTAAACAACTATCTTAAATTGTAAAATAGTTGTTTAATGAAATAACTTTAATTGACTAATAGTAATGTTATGTGTAAAATATAGTTTTTAAAAAGCTTTCAAATATAGTTTAAAGAATATAATCGGTGATGAATTTAATTTCTTAAATTAGATTATTATTTAAAATTTTGCTTTTATAAAACATAGTGAGTTGTAAATATCAATAATGGAGTTGGTGAATATAAACATGAAGAAAAAAATATAAATATTTAATTTGTTCAGATTTTTATTTAGTTATTAATATAGAATATCTTACATTGTTTTTAAATTATACATAAATTATATAAAAATTATTATTCCAAGCTTAAACTATTATATTATATATATAATGTTGTTAAATAAATATATTTTAAGCAATTTGTTTTAAAAGTAAAAACAATAAATGGTTATTTACATATAATGATTAAGATGTATATTATATTATCCTTTGACATGTATTTGATTCGTTTTGATATATCATTATTTTCTACTTTTAGAAAAACAATAAATAGTTAAGCATCAATATATCATTTAGGTTAAGTATACGAACAACACAAATTCAAAGATCACAAAAAATATTCACATAAACATTACAATATGATAATTTTAATCTTAATAACATACAATTCAAAATACAATGTTCTTTACTTTGAAAACTTTTTTTTAACATTCAAAATACAATGTTCAAAAGAATAGGTATATACTTAATATTTAAAATCAAAGATGTTTCGCGCTTAGCGCAAATTAATTCCTAGTAGAGTTCTATTTTTATCTACTAATAAAGTGATTGAACCATTTCATTAATAATTTTTAATACGTTAAATAGTTTTAAAATATATTAGATCATTTGACTGAAATATACAGTCACACATAAGAATATTTTATTGTATCACTATTTATTTTTGAATATTTCCTAATTTACTTTAACAAAATCATAGAAAATCTTTTTGCTTATTAATTTTAAATTCATTAAATTCATAATTATTATTAATTATTAGAGATAAATACTATTGTAATTTTAAATAAAAATAATTACTATTTTATAATATATTGGTTTAATTATAAATTTAAAATACAAAATTAATAAAAGCAAAATTAAGTATAACAAAAATAAATTATAAAAAATGAAAATTATATTGTTTAGTAATAGTATTTTTAGTTTAAAGTTGATGTTTTATGTTTGTAAATTAAATAAAGAAAATTTAGCTTAATCTAAAATAAAAAAATCATTAAAATAAATTTGATCAATGAGAAATATATAAAATAAAAATATAATCCATTTTAACTAGAAAACATCAAAAACTTAATGAAATGGGTTAAATATGTAAATTATTCTATTTTGATTCTTATGCAAATATATTTATTTTAAATTTAAATAGAAATAGTAAAATATAAATAAATTATATATTAATATATGTATTTCATAAAAAAATATGAAGAAATTATACATAATCATATATTAATAATAGTGAACAAAAGATATTAAGTTACATAATATAAAATACCAAGTTGTAATAGTATATTTTATCAAGTTGTCATAAAAATTCAATACAATTATAAAAAATATATATATATATATATATATATATATATATATATATATATATATATATGCGCGGATGCGCGGATTGAAGTCTAGTTATAGCTTTAAACTTGAAAGAGCTTCTCTTTCATTCAAAAAACACTTAGCAAACTCCATAACGTCTATTTGACCGTCACCATCAACGTCAACCTCCTTGAACATCTTATCCATCTCTTCAGACGACATCAAAGGATATAAATCACGGAACCCTTGAGAGAACTGGTCGTATGAAATTTTACCATCTTTGTTCTTGTCAACTCTGTCGAAAACTTGGACAAAAGACATGTTATAATGAAAAAAATATATATGAATGATGATGTAAAATTTTTTATGAAAGAAGTTGTGTGAGGTGATCTATATTTATAGTGAAAATTTGTATGAAAATTTTCTTTCTAAAGAATACTAGTTCTTTATGATTTTCAGATTCTCTAAAAATTATATGAAAAGTAACTTTAAGAAAAAAAATTACTTACATGTCATCACCACATTTATTTCAGAAAAAATATTACTTGATTTATTGAATTATGACATTTACAATAACATTGATAAAAAAAACTTTTAGTTTTGGTAATACTCTTAAAATGAGATAACAACAATTGGTTACATAATATCTCTATAATATTATTTGAGAAGTCACTTTCTTAGGTGTCGTGCTCACGTTAAATCTCACACTGGTTGATTACTATGATACCCCTAATAAATTACAAATATATTTAAATATTATTATTTCTCTTTTTAAAATCTTCCAAATAACAATATATAACAAAAAGAAAATATTTCTAAAATTTACAAAATTAGTTACAAAACGAAAAATAAGTATATATATAATATGGTTTCATAAAAAAAGAAAGTTTACAAAATAGTAATATTTAACTTAAATATATTTTTAAATAACATAAATTATACTTTTTAAGTAATTATACTTTATATCTATATCTTCTTAGATGAAAAAAGTATTTGTATATAATATATTTTCATAAAAAAAATTCATACAAATAATCTTGATATTAGAAAAAGAAATATTTTTTCTTTAAAAAAATAATTTAAACAATAAAATATATATTTTCAAAGTAATTAGTTTTTGTATATATCTATCTATTTTATTAGATGATTACATAAAATAATTAAGTAACATAAACTGATATATGTTTAATTGACAAAAAAAAATTATAATTAGTATATTTATTTGATTATAATATCTTACCGTTACAGCAAAAATATAAATTATATTTTACTTATAGAATATAATTTCTCAAAAAAATCACATTTTTACTGCATATTTTAAGAGATATAAAAACAAAACTAAAAATAAATTTAATGGTAAACATCTTTTGATCAGATAACTACAATTCTTTTAAAATATCATAACACTATATAATTTAATGAGGTAGATATATTATATTTTAATAGTTAAAATTATATGTATTCTTAATAACTCTTTTGATGTTTAATTTTCTGTTTTTATGTTTGTGGAATTTAATATAACCATAATCAAAATACTTAAGAAAATTATAATTCTTTATTTTAAAAATTATTTAAAATAAATTTCAATTTACCATCCAACCAATCTAAGGCATAAATTATTTAAAATTTCTATAATATTTAATTATTGTAAATATCGATATGTTTTCATAAGCTTCTGAAAATTTATTATTACTTATGTATGTAATTTAGAATCAGACACTTTAGTTTTTATTTTTTTCGTTCTAAGCACAAAAAATATTAAAATACATAATCTTACTAAGATATACTTATATTTCTAAGATAACAACCAACATAAATGTAAATAAAACAATTATTCAAAAATTTAAGATATTTAGAATAAAAAAAATTATAGTTGAATTCAGAGAAATAGATAGAATCCAATATATATATATAATATATATATATATATATATATATATATCCAAATGATAAACTAACTAAATATAATATATTTAAAATTATACATAACTAAAAAATATAATATTATTAATATAATTATACAGAAAAACTATAAATTAATATAAAAGTTAAATTTAATATCAATCAACTATTATAATATATTTATTTTATAAATATTTATGCCCGTGCATGAGCACGGGAAAATCACCTAGTATATATATAAAATACCTGCCATACTATTGTTAAAAAAAACCCAATAATCATATGCATTAGTATTAAAAATATAATAAAATTTGCACATTAAATTAGTATTAAAAAGTTAGCCAGTATTTATACTAGGTGTTTTTCTGCACTATGTGCACTAAAAAACTTTTAAAAAATTAAATTATATTTAAAATTGAAATCATTAATATTATAGATTTTATTATTTTGACTAGTATTTAACATAAATGTTATTTTTAATCACAAAATAAATAGTTTATTTAAATTATATTTAATAATTTATATGTAATATATTTAAATTTGAATCTTAGAATTTTTATCTATTTATTTTGGTTAAATGTATTAAATAAACTTGTATAAAATTAGTAAATTGATATAAAACTGTATAGTTATTAAAATTATAAGTAAATAATATTTATTAAAATTTTCGATATCTAAAAGAACATAGTGATATTACGATTGAAATTTATTAATTAAAAAGATGTAGAAAATTTAGAAAATATTAGTGATAAAACATTTATAGTTATAAAAGTAAAATCAATAACATTTTCAAAATTTATAATGCATATTTCAATATATATAGTTTTAATGATGATTTGATTTATGAGTTATTACTATATTTTAAGAAAATTACCAAAATATAATTCAACATTAAATGTAATGTGTCAGTTAGTGTCATATTTTATAAAGTTTACCAAAAATATATATGAGCAATATATGTAATTTTCCATGTTATTTATTTAACTATAAGTCATGTCATCAATCTTAATAACCATGTCATCACTTTTTGTAAAATTGATTGTACAGAGGACATGTGACAAATCTCTTCGCAAATAATATATAGGAGATATTCAATATTAAATATAAATGTATTTTAACAAGTACAAAACTAAGATAGTTTAAACTAAAATTTATGGAGTTACATATTTAAAAACACTTATCTTATTATATAATGCTTGCTTTTCAAAGTTACTAATTAACATGCTCGCGACACATGGCGATTATATATAAATATTATGATACGTGTTAAATAATAATTTTCTTTTAAAAACTTAAACCAAAAAAATTTAACAGTTATTTTTTTTTTAAAAAAAATCTTAAACATAAACTTTAAAAAGTTAGTTTCTCTAATTTAAACAATCTTAAACAAAAACTGTAAAAATTATATTTTCATATAAATAATATTTAATAATAGTATTTTTTTAGTGTTACTAATTAAGATGATTAGCCTAATCAAGTTCAAATACAAACATACAAACATCAGCCTACTCTATCACCCATCATAAGCACTTATGTTCTCAAAATTATCCTTGTTTTCCTTCTCATGCTGGCTAGGGAGCTCTGTCAATATATCTACCAGCATCTTATCACTAATAGCCTTTACGTTGGCGTTGGCCTTAGAAAGTCTTTTTTTTATTAAATGGCATCCCAAGAACATGACACTCAATGTATTTTAGAGCGTAGACGCCACAATCACCAGCTCGGGCCTGAGGTATATTTGGTGCACGTTAAAATGTGAATGGCTCCAGGGAGTATTTAGCACGCAGTTCATTAGAGGTAGCGCACTCAACAAGTAGATAAGGGATCATGTAGAGGAAAGGCTACATTACCACAACGAATTCTTCGTCGAAGATAGAGGAATAAATGTTGTCTCAGACGACTATGTATCTCTTAGAGATTGATATCCACATAACAATCCAGTGAACGTCGTTGTAGTTCACTGGCGCATAGATATCATCAATATCCACCCCACATATCTTGTTCGACTGGCAAAATGATGGTATAGCGCCTGAATAATAATTAAATGCTCCACCAGGGAGTCTTCTTTCTAAACCGTTGTGATCACACTCTGATTCCTTAAAGTCAGAGTAGTTGAATCTCCGTTGCTGAAAAAAAGAGATGATCAAGGAAGCAAATCCTCTCGCTCCTGAAATCTTGTAGCTTAGCAGCATACCTCTTCCTCAGCACATTAATCCAAGCATCAATATGCTGCATTTAAAATAATACAAGTCAGAAGATATCAGAGACTTACTAGACGACTTACCATTAAGTCGTCTGGTAAGTATTCTACTTAGAAGACTTATCAGACGACTTAATGGTAAGTCGTATGATATGTCGCCTACAAAGAAGACTTATCAGACGACTTACTAAGTCATCTACAAAGAAGACATATCAGACGACTTACTGGTAGAAAATATAAGTCATAACAGAAGACTTACACAGTCTTCCAGCCAAGCTAAGGAGGTCCGGAGGGTGTGATACCATTTACTGGGTGCTGTACGTGGTTTAAACTCGAGAGGGGTGTTATAATGATTGCAAACACAAAATGTTGTAAAGCAATCAGTTTTGTAGACTAAAACAAGCAATTATGGGAAAAGCAATCACTTATGTATCAGTTTTCAACCAGTCAACGAGCTCCTTCAACTTGTTCATGTTAAGTGGTCCAAAAGATTATAGCCTGGAGCTCGTTTTTTGTTTCGAGTGATCACTTTGTCAGTGTTGTTTGCTGTATAAAGAGATTGTTGTGAGGCAGCAAGTTTCCTTGTTCGATCACTCTTCGCAGTTTTAATTTCTGCCAAAGTATTTCTCCTCTTTTCCGGATATCTAGCTTCCTCCTGTGCTAAATCTGAAACAGTGGGTACTTGTTTCTCCAACACAACAAGGCTCGATTCTGGAGGATTTTCCCGGCCTGGCTCAGAACTCATCTCTTTCAAGGAAGTAACACATGCGGACAAATCTGTTGCTTTACCCCCCAGCAAGCTTTTCCTTCCCGCGTTCGCCCCATTAACACTTTCACTCTGCAATATTAACCAAAGATCCATTTCACACATGAAAGAAAATTCATATACAAAATCTATAAATAGAACAAAAACAAGAAAATTATAAACAAAGCACACATGTTCTTTCATACAAGAAACAAAGCAAGCACACTATAAACATGATCTTTTATACAAGATCCATTTCAGTTCTTATTCTTAAGAATTTGTCTAGTCAATTTCTTGTTGCAAGAAGATGCTTTACTGACCCCGGGTTCGTGCGTTTTAGTTTGAGAACTAGTGTTTTGAGATGATGCTCCTTTCCATTTTTTGGTGATACCAACGATATTTTCCACAGTTTCCACCCTTTCAGACAAATACTTGATCTTCGTAAGGCACGTCCCAAACCCTTGACTCTCGAGT